TCATTGTTTTATTTTTAATTTATAAATTTTTAAAGTCATATGATTTTTGTGAGGTTTATAGGTGACAGCCACCATAGGGATTTATCTTAATAGAAAGTATATAGAATTCAGATCAGTTTATAAAGACAAGTTAATTTGTTTTTTTATTTTTTTTTTAAAAAATTAAAAAAAAATTTACTAATTAAAAGAACTTACCTTTAACTTAATACTTTAAAAATCCAAATTGATCTACAAAGGTAAATTAATATATTTCAATTTTTTTTAAAAAATTAAAATAAAAACAAATAATTTATGAATCATTTTATTTGAAATTTATCTCAATCGAAAGTATATAGAATCTGGATCAATTTATAAAGATAAGTTAATTTTGTTTTTTGTTTTTTTTTTAAAAATTAAAAAAAAAATTACTAATTAAAAAAACTTACCTCTGACTTAATACTTTAAAGGATCAGAATAAGCTACAAAGGTAAGTTAGATATTTAATTTTTTAAATAAATTAAAATAAAAATAAATAAACTATAAATCATTTCATTAAGGTTTACTTCTTAATATTTCAGACTGTCTTACCAAAGTAAATTTTAAGTTTTTTAAAATCAAAAAATTACTAAAAATTTATTTATTAAAACTTATTTACGATTTAATTTTAATCTAAGGCTTCAAGGATTTAGATCATTTTACAAAAATAGGTTTAATATGCTTTTTTTTAATGATTATAAAAAAAATAAATAAATAACAAAATATTTACTCCTTTAGGAATTACTTCTGATCGAAATTTTCAAAAGTTTCTGAATAGATAAATGATTATAATATGAGTGATTGAAAGAAAATAAAAAAATTTTCTCTTTATAATATTATAATATATACTAATTAAGTTTAGCATAATATTTTGAGCTGTAGAAATACATAGAGTACGTATGACAAGTTAAATTAGCAAACAAGCTATATGAGTAAATGGCTGTAATAAATAAGATTTCAAGTATCTTTACCTTACTATAATATGAGTAGTTGATAAAAGCTAAATACTGAAAATTTCAAATAAGTTAGATCAGTAAATTTTTTTTAAAAATAATAATAATAAATATAATAACTAATGAATTTATACAATTAAACTTATCTTTGATTAGTTTTAATATTTTAAACTATTCTACTAAAATTAACTAATGAATAACTTATCTTTAAACTAAGATTTCAAGGTTCTAAACCTTTAGTTTGGCATTCTAAAAAATGAAATTGCATTAAATTTCTAACTAAGATCAGGAATAAAAAGATCAAAAAGGTTTTCATGACTATCTATCACTTTTTGATGAATATATCTAGCTTAGATCATATCTTTCATGATTAATTTGTAAAATGTGATTTTTTATCATAAATACATATGAAATAAACTTTAATTCTAATACAAACTATTTTTTTATTAATTTATTCAGTAATTGTAATTGTTCAAATTATTTATTGAATACTATATTAATTCTTACAAATTCAATCTTAAATTACGTTAAGCTCTTCATTTTTTTCATAATAATTATCATCACTTTTATTACTATTATCTTCTAAATCACTTTCATGATTACTATCATCTGATGATTTGCTCTTATTATTATTTCTATCTTCTTTAACTTTTCTTCTCAAATTATTAATATTTTTTATTTTATTAAAATTAAAAATTAAACTATCTTCTTTTTCATTAATTGCATTCGAAATTCTACAGCATTTAAATGAATGTGTAATTATATTAGAATCTACAGTATCTTAACTTTTTTTTTATCCAATTTGTTACAAATAAATAAGATGATCTTTTAATTTTATCAGATAATGTATAATTTTTAATTTTTTTATTTATTTAATGATTATTATGATATTGCTTTATTATATATTGTCACTGTGGAATTCTTCAATTCAAGGTGGTCACATTATCAAGTCTTTACTTAAAATTATTAACTGCAGTTTACTACGGTTAAGATGTTAGGATCTGCCTAACTCTTAACTTTACCAAATTTACGCGTTGAACTTAAACGAATCTATCAAGTATGAAGACTTGAGAGACAAATTAGAAACAATTTTAATTAAAGAATTCAGATAATGAACTCAATTACAAATAATGTGTAAGGATCACGTTAGACTATATGAAGACATGAAGAGGCAAAAAGATATAAATTTTAATTGATTCCTTTATTAATATTGAAACTCATATTCACAAAAGAGTTTACAAATCTGCAAAAGAGTTAATTTATAACATAAGCAAAAAGTCTATCTATTTATACAAAATTTCTTTCGTCACAGCTAACTAATTACTATGCTATAAACTAACTAATTTAGCAAAATAAAATATAAGTAAAATAAATACATTGAGAATAATAAAGATACGTAAAATAATAAAAATATAAAATAAAATAAAAATAATAATAAAATTTAGAATATTAAAAATATGTATAATACTAAATATTTTTAGACTTTATTTAATTCGTAACATTAAGATTATCATTAGTATTTGAAAGATCTTTAGAATTACGTAGATCTTCCGTATTTTCAGAATTTGCAGAATTCTCAGTATTTCCAGAATTCTGGATTAAGAGATCGTTATATTGCATCATTTACGTGATTTCGTTATGACTGGTTAATTGCTCCATTGACAATATATACTTTGATGCTAATTAATTTTGATGATGTTAAAATTAATTATATCAATTTGACATTTATTATAATTTATTAATAAAAAAATTTTATCTATCAAAATATAATTTAATTAATAATTCGTCAATTCATACTGAAGTATAGCTATAAATTTAACTGTTTATTTGTATAATTTATTAAATATTAAAATAAATATATATTACTTACTTATAAAAAAATATATTTAATAAAGTATTTAAAACTATTATTTATTTTATTATAAATTAATATTTTAAATAAGTTTTTAAAAAATTTTTTAATTTTATTGTATTTTAAAATTATATAAATTACATTTATATTATATTATGCAAAATTTATTCTTTTTCAAATAAGTATTTTTTTTTTATATAAATTAATAAAAAAAAAAAACTAATTATTTGATTAAAAAAATTATTTATTATATAATATCTTTACTATTATTTTTATTAATAAATTTGAAAAATTTATAATAGAAATTTAAATAAATTTTATTAAAAAAATTATATTTAGTTTATAAAATAAAGATTTTTTTTTTGATTATTTTTTTTTTTTTTAATACAATATGCTTATTATATAATTACTTTTTTAGATTAAAAATATTTTATTTATTTTTTTTTCTTTTAATTTATTAATTTAATATTATTAAATATTAAAAATATGAATCAAATTTATATTCTAATATATAAAAATTTTATTAATTATTATATAATAATTATAAAAAATAATAAAAATATAGTAATAAATAATTTAAACTTTATTTTTTAAAAATAAGTATAAAAATTAACAGCTTATTAAATTTTGAAAAATATATTTTTTATATAGTTAATTTTTGATTCTTGTATTAAATAATATAAAATTTTATCAAGTAAAATAAATAATATTGATATAATATTATATTAAGAATAATATATCTTTAAATAATAATTAATTTAAGTATTAATAATAATATTTGTTATAATATAGTATTTATATAAAGAATTTTGAATTAGATAGTTTATTACTTTAAACTAAATAAAGTAAAGTTTTTATTAAAATTACTTTTTTTTATTTAATGATTATTAAATATTAAACCTTTGGTAGAACTTATGCTTTTAAAATATAAGAACAAGTTTTAATAAATATAGATTACATATATGCTCAATAATAATTAATACAATATTAACAAACAAATTATAATTTATATTTATGATACTATACAATATAATTTATAATAGATTATCTTGTAAAATATCTTAATTTTATTTCAGTTTAATTTCAAACTTTACTATTAAAATAAGGAATTATAGGCAAGTATATTAGTAATTAATTTTGATTCTTTATAACATAAATATCTTTAATAGATTAATAACTATTTGAATATATAAAAAAAATTAAATTCATTTTTCCTGAATATATCATAGAATAAAATGATTTATTATTATCAAGCAATAATTATATTATTTAAAAAAGTCGTTCTTATACCTGATCATTCAAATTAATTCTTATAAAGTTTATATCTAAAGATTCAATTCCGTTACTTGAATTTTTAGAATTATTTCTTGTAAAATCCACAATCAAGGATCCTGATATTATCAATAATATTCATTAATATATAAATAATTATAATAATTCAGAAAAATTTATTTACCTGAAAAATCTGTGGCAGTTAGAGAATGTCGTTCAAGAAGATCTTTAACATCTAAACGTTTACTTGTAAGTACATGTGTTAAAGTATTTGATGTTTTTGTTTTTGATTTGAAATATAAACTATTATGATCATCTGCTTCTTTGCATTGCTTACGATATTCAGCATTATCGTTTTCATTATTTGGTCGATACCATTTTAGAAATGTTTTATTCAATTCATTAGCTGTAGGACGTATTGATGGATC